AAAGTAAATAAGTTCATCTTGTTTCATATTTTTTTTTTTTTTGTAAATTTCATCTTGTGTCATATTTTTTTTTTTGTAAATTTTAATTTGAATTTCTATGTGAAGAAATTATCATTCTTATGTACATCGATTACATTTTGTTTATAAATATTCGCATTTTACAGTAATGCAATTTAATCTTCCAAATTAGAAATAACCAAATATTTTTTTCAGTGCAATTTCATTGAAAAATGCCAACAGTGTGTGTGTAGTGGTGATTTTTTTATCTATACGCCGGTATATGCTCTAGAACTAGAAACTTCAAATTTTACATGAAGATCTTTGACATTCATGTGAACATTTAGAGAAAAATGGGCGGACTTTCAATGGGGGGATTATATGAATTAAATACAATACAATATTATTTAAATTTAGGCGAGTACCAGCCTGTTTGAAAAAAAAAGTTGTGAAAAATGTTTATCAACTTTTATAATTACATTTGAAAAAATTGGAATGTATCAGTGTTATCTATCTAGGGATTTAATAAAATTTGTCGTTTTTATCGCTTATATATGTAAACAAAACCAAATGTTTATGTTTTGTTTGACAAATTTAAATTGAAAAATGAATTAAAAAGAAAATTTATTTTTGTAATTTTTTTTTTTTTTTTTTTTGGAGAAAAATTTTTATGAATGAAAATTGAATTTAAATTATGAAATATTACGTAATATATAACGGATATCGGACGGTACATGGTCTCCAATAACTAAAGACCTGTAAATAAACTTTTATTTAACATTTCACGTGAACTAACTAGAGTCTATATCGTCACCTGAAACGCAAACGGCCCTAACGAACGAAAAATTCAAAACCGATTTTATTGTTGATTATGATGTATTGCATCAAAAGAAATGTCCACACAAAAAATTGGGCTCCTCCGACCAAAATTAGCGATTTCATTGACAAGAAACAAAAGGCCCTATCTACAAAAACATTTAAATATTAAAGGTAAAAAGTCTTATTTATCCATTTCCATATACGCCGTTGTCAACTATCATAACAACTGATAGGTTTCACTATTAAACAATTTGTTTATTTACTACAAATAAATCGCGTTGATAGAAACAAACTTTTTAATTTCAATAGTTTTTTACTTCTCCTGTAAAATTTTAAAAATGTTAGATAGGGCCGTTTGCGTTTTAGGTGACTATATTATTTCATACAATTGCAAAAAATGTTGCTGAAATGTTGTTAGAAACATTTCACATGTATTTGCAACAATACAAACAGAGTACTAATTCAGCAACATTTCTCCATATTTTTTTTTGTATGAAGTTTTGAAAAATTTCACGTGAAATTTTGAATAGAATAACTACCCAGCAAAACTCGGTAATGGGTTGTACTTCCATAACCACTTACTTTTCAATGACTACTACTTATCGTCTGCCTTACATAGAAGTACTCTAGTAATGACTTTCTTATAATCTGATATAGAAGTACTTTATTTTCGGCTTTGTCATTTTGTTTGCACATTTTATTTAATTGCGTTTTAAGAATTGTGTTTAAAAAAATAAAACAAAATTAGTTTTGTTTGTGAAAACCATTATTTGACGCGCAATAAAATAGCTAACCAGTGGTGCAGTGTGTAGAACATTTGACTAACAAACCGAGGCCCCTGGTTTGTATTCTAGCTGGCTCTTTTTATTATTAAAAAACAAAACAACTTACTCAACAACTGTTTTGTAAGGGAAATTGCAAGTACTTCTTTAAGTCCCTATTTGTAAGCGTGCGTAGAAGTACTTGCCTCCAATGACATCACCGTGTTAAAATAATGACTTAAAATGCTAATGAAGAAGTAGTGAAAAGAGGTTTTATTAGCTATTTAACTCATTACTTTTCAATGTAAGTTTTTCCTGGGTAGCTTTACATTAAAATCCTTATTAGCGTTCCGAAAAATTGGCGATCTTGCAATAATTTGCGTGGCATGTGTAAATGTATTTTTTTTTTTTGCTTTTAGGGTAGCAAAGCACACTGGGTATAGCTAGTTATGTATATACACTATCGGACAAAATAAAGTGCAAAAGTGCTCATGCTACATTATTTCATCGAAAAATCGGTTAAATGATTATTGAAAATGGAATTTTTTTTCAAAATCATTTAGTTTATATACAATGTTACAAAAATAACAATAAAACTAAATTATTGTGCTCAAAATTTTTCTGTATAACATCTAGAATTAAAATAAATTCACTTTTTTGTCGGACAAAATAAAGTGTAAATTTTATATATCATTATTTAAATTTCTTGTATATCAAAATTTTTTATCTATTTTGGTTCTGATTTGAATATCTGGATCTACTCAAGCCATTTTTGTAATTTTTTTTACCATTATTATTCGCAATCGCTTTCACTTTCCCTTGCTTTCTCCCATACTATTATTTTCAAAAGAAATCCGTTTTTGTTCGCTATTTCAGCGGAATTTTGTGATCAATTGTGGTCAAATATTAATCTATTAGATTTAGGGCGATGCTCTGAGCAGGTCATTCAAATTTTTCAGTATTTTTTTTTTTCTTACAATAATGTTTTTGACCTTAGTCGTATGTTTGAAGTCATGAATCGGTTGAGGCATTAAGTCTCCCAAACCCATTTTACGGCATTTATTTCAAAATTTTTATTAAATACGCTCGTGAATTGCTCATTTGTTATTGCTTACTCCATTTTCACTAAGATTTTCGCTCTTAAAGTTGAATAATGTAACAATACCGATAGCCCTCCACCATAATGTTTAAAACCTGGGATATTGTTTTTAAAATTTTGTATATTGAAGGGCTTAACTCACACTCATTGTCGACATTTCAAAATTTTCGGTAGAAATTGGGACTCATCTGACCAACTACGTAAATTTGAGCTAAAAATTACGAAATTAAATACTAAAATCGAAAAAAATTTTAAGCTTTTAAATATGTTGGTGAAAGATTGAAGGTATGGGTCAGTTGACTCTTCGTATGTGTCCAATTTTTAACGTTAGGTGTGAGGAACCTAGGTGAAATTTATTCAAAAAGCTCCAATGAACACTATATAAGCATATTACAGTCATATCTTAAGATCAGTGCCTTCGAAATGGACTTGGGCAACTTTATATTTCGGCAAGATAATAAGCTTAAGCACTTGATAAAGTTAAAAAAATAACATTTCTGTAGGAAAAATCACGGAAAAATTGGAATGTCCTGCTCAGAGCACCGCCCTAAATCCAATAGATTAATTTTGGACCACAATTTATCAAAAAATTCTGATGAAATAGTGATCTCAAACGTATTTCTTTTGAAAATTATCATATGGGGATAGCAAGGGGAAGGGAAGGCGATTGCGAATAATAATGGAGAACAAAATTACCAAAATGGCTTAAGTAGATACAGATGTTAAAATCAGAACCAAAATAGATAAAAAATTTTGATATACAAGAAATTTAAATAATGATATATAAAATTTACACTTTATTTTGTCCGACAAAAAAGTGAATTTATTTTAATTTTAGATGTTATACAGAAAAATTGTAAGTACAATAATTTAGTTTTATTGTTATTTTTGTAGCATTGTATATAAACTAAATGATTTTGAAAAAAATTCCATATTCAATAATCATTTAACCGATTTTTCGCTGAAAGAATATACATGAGTACTTTTGCACTTTATTTTGTCCGATAGTGTATATTATTGTATGTAATAAACATCTGCATGAGTATACTTGTTCTTAAGTTCACAGTACTGCTAGTATTAAAATACACGCACATTATATTATTGTGAAAATATTAAACAAGCATGTGCAGGATGTGTAGGTTCGACAAATGAGTTATTCTCACACACAACTTGCTTAATATAGAAACGAAATATTACTCGTCTCGCTCGTTGAGAGTTGTGTAGGGTTTGATATAATATTGCAAAAAAATCTTAATGATAACAAAAACATCTCTAAATCTACGAGTGATCAGTGGATCAGTTCAAACTTTGAGTATAAACAGCATTTTTGCTTTGTACGGCGCTAGTATTGTTTTGAATGCGAAGGTTTTCGGCAATTTACATCTACACAACACGATCTTAAACGAACCTCTTAACAAGGGAGTAAAAAATACAAAAATTTTATTTTGTTGCTCAACTAAGCGTGATGATGTCACTTTGTTTCAAAAATTACAATTAAAAATTATGTGTGTGAAAAAATGTACAAATTTTTTTACTGGCTATTTGCATTTTTATCGATTAAAAGTAAACTCTTATTTGTGCTAATTGTATTTTATTCTTCAATATGTTTTGTTTAAATAAACACAAATTCTTTAAAATCACTCATTAGTTGTCTCGAAACAGATCATATATTATTCCGATCTGTTTTTCACTCTCAACTCTATTGTCTCTGTTTCTTTTGTATATGTTTGCTTTTTCACTTGTTTTGTTGTGTGTAGTTGATCAACTGCTTTTTTATCTACGCCTGCACTACAGACAGCATTCATAAAATAAACGAGAGATTTGTAAGTAATTTTTTAGGCACTCGTGCAGATGTCTAGTAGGTAAAAAAACCCGAATATATAATACCTACGCCAACTATAAGTTGGTGTTTCTATATTGGCGCCGGTGCAATATTTTTTTAAAAGTGATTGTATTTTTTTCAAGTTTTATTCAATTTGTTTACTAACTCAGCAAAAAGTTACACAACAAGGATTAAGTAAAATAAGAGCTACAAGTGATAACGAAGTAGTTCGATTTAGGTGAAACATGCATTATCTAAACATTAGCGTGTAATTGGCGATCATGTCTTTATGCGAGAATTTCGTATAATCGAATTAATGCAAATTCGATTTTCGTTTCGATTTTTTCTAATTGTTGCAACTCTAAATGGTATACGTGACAGTTGTATCTTCAACAAAAAAAAAATCACTTTATGATTGTATCATGGGCCCTACTTTGTGGTTTAAGTAATAAAATTTGTTCATAATTTCTTCATAATACAAACAAATAATGAAACAATCTGACTTTATTTATTTTTAGATCGATAAAGATGAAATTTATTTGCGACGAGTAATTGGCGCCAAAAAAGATCAATACTTTTTAAATAAAAAAGTTGTTCCCCGTACTGAAGTCGTAAATTTATTAGAATCTGCTGGGTTCTCCAATTCTAACCCATATTATATTGTAAAGCAAGGAAAAATAAATCAAATGGCTACCGCAGCAGACTCATACAGGTTGAAATTATTACGTGAAGTAGCTGGAACTAGAGTATATGATGAGAGAAAGGAAGAATCTCTTAATATACTTCGTGAAACAGAAGGAAAATTGGAAAAAATTTCAGAATATTTAAAAACCATTGAAGACCGTTTACAGACATTGGAAGAAGAGAAAGAAGAGCTAAAAGAATATCAAAAATGGGATAAAGCTCGGCGAATCTTGGAATACATTATTCATGAAACTGAATTAAAAGACACCAAAAAATCATTGGAGGATATACAGCAGCAACGAAAATCTTCTTTTGAAAAAAAGAAAGTTTATAATATGCAAATCCAAAAAGCACAAGAAAAAATTAAAGACATACAAAAAAATTTAAAAGAGGCAAAGAAAAATGTGACAACAACTAAAGAGGAGCGTTCCATTCTATTAACTGAACAGCAACAATTATTGAGAGAAAAAACTAAACTAGATCTTACAATTGTAGATTTGAACGATGAAGTTCAAGGTGATAACAAATCAAAAGAACGTGCCGATCAGGAATTAAAAAAATTAAAGGTTACAATAACAGAAAAGGAACGTGAACTTGAAGAAGTAAAACCGAAATACGAAGCGATGAAAAGGAAAGAAGAGGAATGTTCTCGAGAACTATCACTTAAGGAACAAAAACGCAAAGAATTGTATGCAAAACAAGGTCGTGGATCTCAATTTTCTTCCCGTGAAGAAAGAGATAAGTGGATAAATACAGAGTTAAAGTCACTTAGTAAACAAATAAAAGATAAGATAAATCACCATTCTAAATTAGTAGATGATTTAAAAAAGGACGCCAATGCTGAAAAAGATTTAGGTCGAAAAATCGAAGAACATTCTACAGAGTTGGAACAGCTTCGTCTTCAAATAGATGACCATAACAAAAAATATTATGATCTTAAAAAAACAAAAGATCATTATCAAGCTACACGTAACGAGTTGTGGAGAAAAGAAACAAATATGACACAACAACTACAAACTCAAAAGGAAGAACTTTCTAAAACTGACCAAGCGTTACGTAGTATGGCTGGAAAACCTATATTAAATGGTAGGGATTCAGTACGTAAAGTTCTAGATAGTTTTATAGAAAAAGGACCTCCTTTTGCAGACATAGCTAAAGCTTATTACGGTCCAGTTATTGAAAATTTTAGTTGCGATAAAACTATATACACTGCTGTTGAAGTCACTGCTGGAAACAGACTATTTCATCATATTGTTGAATCAGATAAGGTTGGAACACAAATTTTAAAAGAAATGAATAAGTTAAAACTTCCTGGAGAAGTAACATTTATGCCACTAAATAGGCTACAGGTAAAAAACCATGATTACCCTGATGATCCTGATTCAATTCCAATGATTTCTAAATTAAAATATGATGAACAACACGGAAAAGCATTGTGTTATATTTTCGGAAAAACCTTAATATGTAGAAACTTGGAAAGAGCCACTGAGCTTGCTAAAAGTACTGGTTTGGATTGTGTCACATTAGATGGTGACCAAGTTTCATCTAAAGGTTCGCTTACGGGAGGTTATTTTAATACATCACGGTCTCGCCTTGAAATGCAAAAGAAAAGAACTGAATTGACTGTACAAATACGTGATTTTGAAAAGGAACTTAATAAAATTAGGAATGAGTTAAAACAAATCGAAAATAACATCAATGGTGTTGTTTCAGAAATGCAAAAAACTGAAACAAAACAGGGAAAATCTAAAGATATTTTTGAAAAGGTTCAAGGAGAAATACGATTAATGAAAGAGGAATTAGTTCGTATTGAAAAATATCGTACACCTAAGGAAAGATCTCTTGCCCAATGCACTGCAAACCTGGAAGCTATGAATAGCACAAAAGCCGGACTAGAAGCTGAACTTAAACAGGAACTAATGTCTACTCTTTCTGTACATGACCAACGAGAAATAGACCAACTTAATGAAGACATTAGAAAATTAAACCAAGAAAACAAGGAAGCATTTACACAAAGAATGCAACTTGAAGTTATTAAAAACAAATTAGATAATTTGTTAGTAAACAACTTATTTAGGCGAAGAGATGAACTAATTCAAGCTTTACAGGAAATATCGGTTGAAGATAGAAAAAGGAAACTTATAAATTGTAAAAATGAGTTAACTTCTACAGAAAAACGAATAAAAAAAGTAAATCAGGATTTGGAAGAAATAGAAAAAAGGTAAGCATAAAATATTATGTAATATTTTTGTTTAGTAATTGATATGGACCTTCATTTAGTTAGTTACTTTGAAAGAATCATGTATGTTACATCAAATCCGAAATACACCTAGTCCTCCGTCGTGCCTGTAGGGAGCTCCTCTACCAGTTTCTCTGATGGGGATCGAACCCACGACCCCAGGTCTAACAGACTACAACACTAACCTTCATTTAAAGTTTCCCATATTTTCGCTTACATGAAGCTTGCTCTACGTATTACATAAAACCCCTTTTCAAAAACTGTGCAATTACAACTTCTGTATGTGTACATACGCCACTGGCTGAAGCTAAAGCAACTGATGTTGTATTTATGTGGAATTGTTAAAAAAAAAAATAATAAAAAAAAATTCACGATTTTTTTCGTCAAATATGATATAAATACTCGGAAGAAAATGAATACTATATTTGACGTACTTTGTATTGACGTACTTCGTTTTGAAAAGTTAGGTTAATGTAAAGTTAGGTTAATCATAAAGAGTTCAAAAACAGTCGTAAGATTAATAAATTTAGGGCGGTTTTTGAGTTGGCAATCAAATGCCAATTAATAATCAGATTAGTTAATCTAAAAATAAACTTAATCTGATGTTAATCCCCTTTGATGTTTTTGAGTACAAGATTAAACTTCGCAGTGTTGCCATACAAAACAACATAAAACGTCACTGTTTGTTATCAAAACAATGCATGGTTTATAAAAAAGAAGAAGACAATTGTAAATTTAATATAAAAATTAATGAAAACTTAAATTTAAAACAAAACAAATGTATTTTGAATAGAACATTTTAATGTTTATATTTATAAAAATTGTATTATTTTTTTGCATCAGCTGTTTACACCCATGCGTAAGTTTAAGCCACCTCCATTTGGCGCTTAAACTTGCAAACAAAATTAACTAATTGAATACTCAAAAACAACTTTCGAGGATTAATTTTATTTTAATCGCTAATTTTTCACCTAAAGATTGGCCCTTAGTGTTTATTTGTTGAAAAATAACTCTAACAATAATGGGAGTCTAATTAAAATCTTAAAAATAAACTGAAACCCCAAAGACTGGAAAAACAAGTAAAATTTATATTTGGGTTTTTAATTTTTTCTATAAACTAGAAGGGACTCGTATACAAAACCTGAAAATGATCGGACGTGAATTTTATAATTAAGTTTCGACAAATGAGCAACAAAATTAAGTAATTTCAAAAGAGTTTCCTATTTTTTTCTTTAGATATCAAAATCGCTTCAGTGGCAATGCCTACTTTGAAATGCAATATCTTATTTCGACCTAACTTTTGAAAACGGAGTATGCCATTACATTCTACGGCCTAAAATTAAGTCTACGTGTTTCAGCGTTCTTCTGTGTCATTTTAAAATTTTACTTACAGTGTATTGAGATTAGTTAATCTAAAATTAAATGTAATCTAATGTTAACCCCTTGATGTTTTGAGTACAAATTTAAACTTTGCAGTGTTGCCATACAAAACAACTGATAACGTCACTGTTTGCTATCATAACAATGGATATTTTATAAAAAGAAGAAAATAATTCGTAATATAATATGAAAATTGATATTTTGAAGTCTCCATAATTTATAATAATCAACAAATAAAACATTTTAATCTTTATTTTTATAAAATTTCTATTATTTTTTTGCATCAGTTGTTTAAGGGGGGTGATGGCAACACGTCAAAATTTGTCAAAACTTGTTTATGTGTTAGTAATATATTCCAGCAATCATTGAAGAAGAAGAAGCATAAATTTTATTTTTATTTAGATTTTGCGACGACAATATCATATTTTTTCCGCATGGTGATAAAAAAAATTATGAAGAAAAATGTATGCGTTATTTGTCGACATAGAATTTTTACCATTAATATAAATGTAATTTTTGCTGTAAAAAAACAATTATTTATTTTTTTAATTATTTTTTTTTATTAATGAAAAAATGTTTTATTAAAAAACTGGATATTTTTCTTGGTATATTTCAAGTAAAATTTAGTACTGTGCCTTTAAATAAAATCGAATATGATTTTTTTATCCATATTTCATTTACCTCGCGGCAAAAAATGTGATGTTGTCTCGCCAAAAACTAAATAAAATTGAATTTCTGCTTCAATTTCAGTTGAAAATCAAAAGTGTTTTGATTTTCATCAAACCAGTGCGTGTGAGTTTTCTTTTCACTAACACAATCAAAAAAATTCCTGTGTGTATAAATTTGTTTGATCGTTGCCATCACCTTTTACACTTTCGCATTTCTTGCTCATGTTTAACCACCTCCATTGGGTGCTTAAACTAACAAACAAAATTAACTGAGTACTCAAAAACAACTTTCGAGGATTAATTTTAATTTAATCACTAATCGTTCACCTAAAGATTGGCCCTGAATGTATTACTCCGTATAACTGTTTCCAAGTTGTGCGTTGTTTGCATTAATTTTGCTTTCACTTTACTTTCCTCGTTTTATGTTATGTTGAATTAAACTGGTGGAGACCTAAATGAAGATATCGGTTGATTGAAGGACATTTTCTGAACCAACGTGGGATAACCTGTCTATTTGAGATTTTTAATACTCGCCAACAAACAAAATTGCTTTTAGTATTATGTTAAAATTTTATTTGCTATTTTCTTTAAAGGGTACTCGATGCAGTAAACTTACAAAAATCTCTTCAACAAGAACTTGAAGATTTTATCAGAAATGAAAAGGAAATTGAAGAAAAAATTAACGAAGATTCCAAAAAAGTAGAGAAATGGGCTGTGAAAGAAAATCTACTACTTCAAAAAATAGATGAATATACCGAAAAAATTGCATCATTAGGTGCATTACCGCAAACGGATCCTATCTATGCTAAAATGAACTTGAAAAACTTATTTAAGGAATTGGAGAAAGCCAATCAGCACCTTAAAAAATATAATCACGTAAATAAAAAGGCATTGGATCAATTTTTGAGTTTTTCAGAACAGAAAGAAAAACTTTATAAACGGAAAGAAGAGTTAGATGTCGGTGATGAAAAAATTAGAGAACTAATGCAATCACTAGAAATGCAAAAGGTGGAAGCAATACAGTTTACATTTAAACAAGTAGCAAAAAACTTTACACAAGTTTTCAAGAAGCTTGTTCCTCAAGGCGCTGGATATTTAATTCTTAAAACCAAAGACAATGACGGGGATGAGCCTGACAGAGAAGTTGCGAATTCAGATGCTTTCACGGGTATCGGAATAAGAGTTTCTTTTACCGGGGTGGACGCGGAAATGAGGGAAATGAATCAGTTATCTGGAGGACAAAAATCACTAGTTGCATTAGCATTGATTTTTGCTATACAAAAGTGTGATCCAGCACCTTTTTATCTCTTCGATGAAATAGACCAGGTATGACAAAGTACAACAAACATTAATCATGAATAATATTTGAAGTATTTGTTTTTCAGGCACTTGATGCTCAACACAGAAAGGCGGTTGCTGACATGATACATGAATTAAGTGATAAAGCTCAGTTTATCACTACAACATTTCGTCCAGAATTATTGGAAAATGCTCACAAATTTTACGGAGTTCGGTTTAGAAACAAAGTTAGCCACATTGATTGTGTAACAAAGGAACAAGCGAAAGATTTTGTTGAAGATGATAACACTCACGCATAAGACACTATAATTTATGTACATTGTTGTGTCCCGTGGACAACTTTTTTGTAGGCATACCTCTCAAACAATGAGTACTAATGTGAACGAGATAAAATAAAGCTTATTCAGTTCCCTATCAGCGTACAGTGGGCTCGATGTCACCTAAAGTGGCGATTAATTCGAGCGAGCCGTAATTTTATTATATTTTAATATTTTTTAACAAATCAGTAAAAAAAAAACATTAAAAGGCATCTTTGTAAAAAAAAAAATACAGCAATTTCTTTTAATTTTATAAGCATTATTATTATTTTTCGGAAAATTGTGATTTGATACAGAATTTTTGCTATAGGTATAAAATGGAAGCATGGGGCCAAATAAAAATTTAAAATTGTATATTTTTGATAAATTTTTTAAATACATCTTGAAATCGTTCTGAAAATGTCCAGAAGAAATTTCAAATCACGACATCCAAAAATCGACACTTAAAATTTTGTTAAAATGGAATAAGGGCATATTTATATGATTTTTAACGAAAAATACTTGATAATACTGATATTTTTTTACCTTAATAAAAAAAATACAAAAACGTGATTTTTAGCTAAATATTTTCGGGAAAATTTTGGATTTTTCAATTTATCTTTCCAGGAATAGATGTAAATAGACCAGTTAAACACTATATTGTCAAAAAAAAAAAAACGCGATTTGGGGAAAGTGGTCTTTACGCTCTTATTTTTACATTTTTTAATTCTTTCTTTAATGAATAACACTCAAACAATGAGTACTAATGTGAACGAGATAAAATAAAGCTTATTCAGTTCCCTATCAGCGTACAGTGGGCTCGATGTCACCTAAAGTGGCGATTAATTCGAGCGAGCCGTAATTTTATTATATTTTAATATTTTTTAACAAATCAGTAAAAAAAACATCTTTCCAGGATGTCAAAAAAAAAAAACGCGATTTGGGGAAAGTGGTCTTTACGCTCTTATTTTTACATTTTTTTTAATTTTTTCTTTAATGAATAACACTGGTCTGCACTCAAATCCTCCTTTAAAAATGTTTTATAGAACTTAAGATATTGCCTCGGTAAATCTACGCCTTTCGATTTCTTCCTATCACGTCACAATTTCGAGTAAATCACTATTTTGCTTAACCCTTATGAGACCGTTCTAAAATCTTAAACTTTATTTCAAATAATACTTTTTTAATAAACTATTAATAGCTCAGCAAAAAAAGACGTGCAAAAAAAGTAGTAAATGCATGGGTTGAACTGATAATATTTAGGGGAAACATGCATGATTTTGACATTAGCGTGTCATTGGCATGCATGGGTTCGTATTTGGAAAAATAGTTCGTCATTTAAATGAGTTCTTATAACCAATGAATATTCGATGATTCTCAAGCGAATTTTCATTGGTGCTCTATATTTTTTTTTAGGGGAAACATGCATGATTTTGACATTAGCATTTTCCATGCCTTCACTGATGACAAATTTATTAGAATTTAGCCATACACGTTGGATTTGTATGTTTGATTGGTATGTTCTGGACATTATGTTGATCGTTTTTGGGGCTGTGTGAGCACAAATCCCAGTTTGATGTGGCTGTGGGCTTGTGCGAACACATTTACAATAGGTTTGTCAATAAATTTGTTTTCAATAATTAATACAGAATTGAACGAGCACACCTATTTATTAATTTAATTTTAATTTGATATGTTCGACGTCTGTGGAGAAATGGCATTCAACAAATCGCATACACAAATCCACAAGACTACAAATTTTTAAGAGCTGGCCATACACATTGGATTTGTGTATGCGATTTGTTGATTATTAAAAACACATTAACAAAGAATAAACAAGAAGTGAAACGCTGTCATTTTTTTACAACAATAACATTACGCTCTTCTCACAGACGAGTGCTGTGTAAATCCAACACATATGTAAAAATGTTATTCTCTCTCCAAGCTTCAAAACTTTTTCGCAAAAATTTGAGGATAATAGCACTTTGAAATATTTTTTATCACTTAATATTATATTTTATAATTTTTTTGCACAATTTAAACACATTTAATAGCCCGAAAATAATATATTTTTTACAAACGAAAAAAAAAATATTTTTTATTTTTTGACATTGAATTTTTGTTGGTTGAAATTAAAACTAAAAAAAAACAATGTTGTAAATTTTCGTATGGTAAACGAAAAAGATATTTCAAATAAATAATTTATTTTTTCAATATTATAGATTAAAAAACAAATAGACGTGTTTATAAAATTTTTGTAGATAAAATATGTGGAAAATATCTTAAGAAACCTTTCGAAGTATAAATTGAAATGTAATATTTTTTTTTTCAATATTTTTCAATACGATTTTTTGCAACTATGTTGACTTGAGAATTCTACTAATACATTCTTAGAGTTAGGTACCGGATGACAGTAGACTTAGGTACTTTTGACAACAGTTTCATTTCTTATTTATTCTTTGCACATTAACATCAAAACACATTGCAACATCAAATTTTTGGATTTGTGCTCAATTTTTTGGATTTGTGCTCACAGAGCCTCATAAACGATCAACATAATGTCGAACACATACAAATCAAACAAACAAATCCAACGTGTATGACTAGCTTTAGGTAGCTCCATCTGACAGTTATAAGCGATTAAAGTTCAAAAACTTTGAAAAAATTGTGAAATTTTCAACTTTTTTATATAACATTTGGATAATATTTATGAAGCTTATGAGCAGGGTACACTAAACAGGTATGTATATGCATCACTACAACAATACAAAAACAACATGTATTTTGTTTTTGTACAAGTATGAGCTCAATGTCAAACTCAACTGATTGAAATAAAAATAAACAAAAAAATATTTTGACGTTTGTTTTTGAAATAAGAAAAACATTTGTTTTAATAAAACGAAAAATAATGCCATCCGACGTAATTAATCTGTAAATGTGTAAATGGGCAAGAATTTTTTGCTAATACATTATTTCCACACTTGTTACTCCGGTCGCGGTTGTGGTTCAATGTAGAAAAGTTATATATTAAAGTAAACAACACTCATTATTGATATGCTGTTCTTTTAAATTAAAAGAAAAATTGCAGTCATAATAAGGACACATATACCTGGAGTAAGTGGAGTTATTTAATTGTGTATAGGTCTTGTTTCTCTAATGTAATTTTGTTTTGTATGACAACCAATGAAAACAAGCTCTTATCGTTCCCACGGCAATTAGATATTCGCTCCGGTCAAAGATTCTCAACCCAGCGACAGCTGTATCAACCGAAAGTTTTTTCCCTAGGAAATAACTATCGGCCACAGTCGAACTGTTACAACATCAAGCTCTTATTGTGAAGAATGTGGCTATAAATGTCCAAAATACGATTTTTCGTTACACTTCGCCTTTATTACGTACACTTTTAAATTTATATGGTTTAAATTTTTTAAAATTCAAATTAATTTATTATAACTGTCACTTCAAATAGACAAAAACAAACGTTGACAGAGAAGCTATACTACTTATGTATACAAAAAATAATCAGCTGTTCGATTGCATATACCTGTTTATTTTATCATGCTTATGAGATATTTGTTCAATACTGTCAATGCACAGTGGGGCAGAATGGAAATTTTTTGGAAATAAATCTGGCATTTCTAAACGGCTGATCCGATCGGGATAAAATTTGGCGTGAGCGTAGCCAAGGAGTATTCGAGTTTAAGTAGGATACCTACAACATGTAAAATTTTTAAACTCGTGCCATTTTTTTGTATATACAAAGATTTTTATATTTTCTGAAAGCGCTCGACGAGATCTTGAAAAAACATGCTTGGACATACTACTTATCTCTTCTAATATCCGAGTTATAGGCATTTAAAAATTTAGTGATATAAAATTTACCATACCTTGGTCCGCCTTTTTTTGAATACCGGGCGTAATTTTGGACCAATGAACTCTTGTTAGTTAGACAATTTCCAATAATATACAAAAAATTTCAGATCAATATCATTTACAGATCCAAAAATATACGTTTTTTAATTTAAAAATTCAAAAAATTTTAGATTTTTGCCGTTTTTTTTGCCAAAAATGTGTCTTAACTCTTTTATTAACCCAGCAAAAAAAAGTGTGGAAAAATATGTTGAATTTTCATCACAACTAGTAACCCGAAGTGCTTCAAATTCGGGTGTAAAACCTATGAATTTTACATTAGCGTGTCATTGGAGGGATGTTGTTCATTTTTGGCAGCTTTGAACTACATCTAATCTTATTTTTAGAAGCAGTAAAAATCCGATATTTGGATGTCAAAAATAAAACACATTCTCTTAATGACACGCTTATGTAAATTTCACTACTCTTTCACCAAATCTTGATGTACTTCAAATATGTTATTTTTAATGACTTTTCCACATCTCTTTCCTCACTTTTAACTGGGGTTTCATTTGTAAGGAAATATTTGGTTTATAAAAGTGAAAAATATTAAATCGCATTTTAAGATGTGGTTTGTAAAGTATGACATCAATTATTTTTTGCTGGGTAATAAAATAAAATTTTCTTTAAGAACATATAAGAATTTTATAGTTTTCTAAAAGGTATCTTTACACAGAACGCTTTGGCGTAAAAAACTTGTCCTATTTTTTGAAAATGTTGCCACTGCGTCCTTCCGAATATGACCTATTTTTTATCAAAACTTCAACTTTGGGCGACATGTTCTAAAATCCCAAAGCTGGGATCAGAAAACTGAAAGCAGTTTTGGAAACCTCAATATGTTTTCTATTTACTCCAAAAGTATTTTCCCAGCCCTGAAAGAAATGTGGACCCTATGGGTAAAAAAGTAAAAAATCCCATTTTTGGGATTTTCATTCCTATTTTTGGGAATTGCGGGATGCCCTTTGACCTTTTCAATTTTTTTCTTATTTGAAATGACAAATTTAACAAGAGTTGAAAATTTCATTGAGTTTTGTTCATAAATAAAGATTTTGTCATATATTACATATTTGTATAATTTCTAAAACTATGATTTATATCAAAATTTTAATAGGGTCGCAGATAGCTACAACAATTTAGTCCATATTTATCCCTTAATATCATTTTTTAGTTAGATATGGAAATTCTCGACCCTTTACAAAAAATTTCAAGCCAATATCTCAATTTCATTCAAAAATATGTTCATTTAAACCTGTGTCCTTTAATTTCATATTTTAGTATTAAGTATGACAGAACATATTTAAATTTTATATTTACCTATTTTCTATTTGTTTGCTTATCCTTATA